TGCTACTTGATTGGCATTTAGGTCCCACCCTTTTACTGTTGAAATAACTAAATGCAACCGCCACTTCTACTCTAACAGTTTCTTTTCTCGCACTTCTCATCTGTGGAACTCCCTTCCGTTTATTTGCTTCCTGGATAACTATAATCTTCAAAAAATTAAATGCAACGTCAATTGCTATCTTCTGTCTTCTTGAATACTCAATACCCTCTATTTTCAGTCTTCTCTTTCCCGGATGGCCTCTTTAATGTCCAGGCGTTGTCCCGAAGGCCATTATATTACATGTTAGTTAGGGGATCCGTACAAGATGATCTGATAGACGAGCTCGGTCTTACGAAGTAGGACGCCTGAGTTGAAATGCTTCAATAATGATGAGGCATCACTTACCTGACTGGTGATTAGTAGGGTCCTCAAGGTCGACAGAAGTATTTGTTCGGCGAGTTTGGAAAAATATCCAAACTGCGTTCGCTGTGATGAAGTGGTGGAAACCCTGGATCACACCTTCTTTCATTGCAAGGTCATAGTCCCGTTTGTGCAAGTGTATTGAAGACATCCTGGTTCGCATGCTGCGCGGAAAGTTTTTCGTCATCGAGGCCAGTTCTGTTTGTAGCAATGTGGTACCGTCGTTGATGAAGGCTGAACACTATGTGTTCTTTTGCTTCCTAGGAGTTATGAGTGTCGTGATTTGAACGACACGTCAAAAAGAATTCTATCGGGGCGAGAAGTTCACCACTTCCCAACTGATCTTGTTCATTAAGCATCAGCTTAAAGTCAAGATTAAGACGGAAAAGCGGTAGCTCCCTCCATCAGAATTTGGCAAAAGGTGGGTGAGTCTTTCGCGTTTGTGTCGTGTAAGAGGAGCCAACTTAGAGTGGCATTTTGATGCCGATTAGTCATTAGGATATTGCTCTAAATGGATTGAACATTGGCAACCCCGCCCGAAATTAGGTTGGTTTAGCGGGGGACGGTGTTTCTTCCTTCAAGTTAACTAGGGAATGTATACTCATTGGCCGCTTCTATTTGTGCTCCCCACTTTCTTTAATTTAATTCCGCCTTCTCTCCCTCGTTAGGTGACCAGAGACGTCAGTACTATGATGGATGCTGGAGGTCTTTCTTCTTTCTTTCTTTTTTTCGGGTGTGAATTTCGTATTTGTTGTTGTGTTTTAATGAGTGTGTGTTTGAGTAAGAATTTGGACGAATGAGTATTTTATACTATTAAAGTCCCCGATTTTATTTCGTCCAATTAACTGATGTTTCTGCCACAATTAAGGATTGTGGCGAGAGGGTATTACTAGCACTATTCTATTTACTTTTTTGTCATTAGCTTTGTTCACATTGGGGTTTAGATTTTAAATTGTTTTTTATCCCCCCCTCCACAGATTACCATAGCAAAGAGAGACAATTCTTTGTAAAATTACAAAATGTGGCACAAGGCCAAAATGGAGACTGAGGAAAAGAACGGTCTTCTTCTGTCTTAAATTTAAACTTAGCAAGCTGAGCCAAACATACCACAATATTCCTAACACCAAAACAACACATTCTTACTTAACATTCTTACTACATCCACCATAATACCTCATTGTCTCTATGAAAGTCATAACTAGACCCCATATGTACAATTCATTATCCGTGGAGGAGGGCATTTTTTAAGCATTTTTAACCCCAAGCAAGAAGGGAGTGCCACTAGCACGCAAGGGGTTACAGAAAGTGAGAGCAAGAGTAAAGAGAGGTGATAGAGGAAAGGATATAGAGAAGGAGGGGTATCAGGATCAAGGTATCAGAAGATGTCGATTAACATTACATTTGGGTAGTTGGAGATTATAGCTATCAGAGAAGCAAGTAATAGGAAGGGAATTCCACAAACGGGAGGTGCGAGTCATGAAGCTATTGGAGTAGAAGAGACGGACACATATAACCATTTCAACAGTGAAAGGGTGAGACCGTGAGGCCAGCCTAGTAGCACGTTTAAATTCATGCAGTTTGAGAATTAGCGAAAATAGCTCGTCGGAGCAATTACCGTGAAAGTATTTGTAAAAAAGACAGAGGGAGACGACGACATGTCTGTGAAAGAGCGACTGTAGACGAGATGCCAGGTCAGGGCCAATCATACTGCATATCTGTCTCTGGATTTTGTCCAGTTCCTTAAGACGAACAGCGGGGGCACCAGACCATATATGGCAGCAGTATTCCATGCAAAGGTGAATGGTTGATTTATAGATTTGAAGGGTGGACTCGAGTGAGAAAAACTTTTTGGCACGACACAGGGAACCTACTTTCCTTGCGGTGGATGAAGCTATTGATTCAATGTATTTCTTCCATCTCTGGTCAGCAGACAGTGTGAGACCACACAGTCGCAAAGAGGTGCTTTCGTGGAGTTAAGCATCAGACATTCTAATGGGCGGCAGGGATGGTTCCCTGTGGTGAGTAATAGAGAGCAGGTTTGTTTTAGAGGCATCAAAGTTAACCAGCCAATTCCTGCTCCAGTCTACAACCGATTGAAGGTCCTTTTCGAGACCAACGGCCAGATTATTTTGTCAGCAATACAGGATTTGCTATTTAAGCAGGAGTAAATAGTAGTGTCGTCCGCGTAGATGCCTACTTGAGAATTGATGACTTCTGGAAGATCGTTAATGAAGATAAGGACCAGTGTAGGACCCAGGATAGAGCCTTGGGGAAAATCTGCGTTCGTGTGAAAGGAACTGGAGGAGAATCCGTTAAGGTCGATCTTCATTACACTGTTTGACACAAATGATTAGATTAAGTTAAATAATCGTCCTGAAATACCATAACCCTGAAGCTTTAATCAAACGCTTTAGAGATTATCTAGATCCACGGCACGAGATTCCCCGTTATTGTGAAATGCTTAGTAAACAAATTCAGTTATGGCCTTGAGCACATCAGCTATAGATCGGGCAAAGTGGAAACCATATTGCTTGTCAGAGAGCAGATCATGGAATCTAAGGTGCTTAACCACTTCGGCGTTAATTAAAGCTTCAAAGACTTCTGAAGAGTGGTAGGAGACTGATAGGACGGTAGTCAGATGACTCCAGAATTCTTAAAGACAGGTACAACAGATGAGGATTTCCAACAGGCTGGAAAGCAAGAGTCATCGAGAGCGTAGTTATATAATTTTGGAGAGGACAGGAGCCAATTCAGGAGCACATTTATTCAGGACAACGGCTGGTATCCCGTCCCCACCGCT